TCACGGAGCACACCTCTTACAGCCAAAGCCGAAGGTGGTTCTTAAAGAGACAAGAGGCCAATTTCAAGGCATTTAGAAGAGGAAGTGATGAGAAGATAAGTTTATTTTCTATTTAAACATAAAAACAGCATTTCAATAACAGCTAAAGGTGACATAGATACTTTATTATGGCATGGTATTTAAATATATGTCTGAGAAACACATAATATTGGCCCTTTAAAGGTTCTTACCTGTATGTTTTTTTTTTCAAATCCATCCAGTTGTGATTAAAATATTTTTCCAACAGACAAAGAGGATTCCAACATGTTTTGCAAAAAATTTAAACACAAATTTTGTTTTTACTTGTTACCCATGCACACTCATCCAATAAATTAGTTCATCTGTTATAAACAAATCGGTGCTCTTAGTCATTTTTGCTTAAAACCATACAACGAAGAATTGTACGTGAGGATAAAAGCAATAAATCTAATTTATGTCAGTTGAAACGCTGGAGCTGTGAGAAAATAAATGATGTGTTTTGGCATGGTTGGATATTGGATTTTATGCAAGATTTTGGATCCAGTGAAAGCATTTTTTGCAGTTGCGTAAAGAAAACCCTCAAGTTTGGATTCATAATGAAAAATAATTATAACAAAAAAAAAAACTTCTTATGGAAAAGCATTTCAGTGTACCACTAAGTAATAATAAAAGTCCATTTAAAGCTTTGACYTGAAAAGTGGCGGGTGATATGCATCCATTTAAGGATATTTAAGAGAATATATTCTGCAGTACAGCTGCAGTTTCTTTTCTGCCACAGGCTCAAACAGCAACACTCAGAATCAACATTTGCAGCAACAAAAGCTGTGCACTGTTGACCTATTGTCCCACTGGCATACAGAACAGCATTTACTTAAGAGAAGAAATTGCTAAAAGCAGAAAACAMTTTTTCACTCTTCAATGTCAATCGCCCTCATTGGTACTGAGGCGGGAGGGGCTGTTCAGACAGAAGACCCTGACCTATATTATTATAATCCCTGCATTTGAAACCCTGCTGCTCTGATGGCTTCATCTGTGAGAGGAGGGGGTTTGCTTTGAACATTTGCACAACAGTTACAGGCAAAACACTTCTTCAGGCCCTATCTTACGCTGTGTTAGCTTCAAAACATGGTTCTTAATAGAATAAGGAAAAAAATGTGTGTTTTCCTAACCCTAACTATCATCAACTGATACATTGCTAACCCAAAAGACCTTATCTACAACC